CCCCCCCCCCCCCTGAGATGACCTGCGATTTTCTAATACAACTGGTATTCTGCGAAAAAAAAACTATGTGGTTTATTGGTGTTGAAGTAGAGCAAGAGAGGAGTGCACCCCCCCGCCCTCCCCCCCCAAAAAAAAATCCTGGATCCGCCCCTGCAATTTGACAACTTCAATATTTACTTGCTCCATCTTGAAACTTTTTTCCACAACCATTTGTTTTTTACCGCCAGGCGCCGCGAAGGCCGAAGGGCCCTTAGGCCTCGCTTCCATGCAACTTCCGGTTTTTTCCCGAATCGGCGTATTCAATGGTAATAAATCGAGCTTTGAGGTTTTATCCTCCTGACAATGTTTCAGTGAGAAGTGAATTTTACATGTTCCGAAAAGGCGCCGCCGGCAAAACGGAGTCAAAAGGCCGGAAATACATTGATGAATCCTGGAGCACCGGAGATTTAAAGGACAGGAAAGATTGGGGAATTGAAAATAGCGTTTTTGCTCGTTCCAGAGGAGACTAACGTTCAGCGGTTTGCCGGTCGTATTTTTGCAAGTACACTAACACAGCGATTCTAGCTCCCTCGTGTCAGGCACCCACTTGCGAAAGACGTTCCGCACCAGCTGAAACACGTGAAAGGGAAATTCAGGAAGAAGCAATTAATCAAATTTCGCCAACTCAAAATGAAAATGAGTTTGCTCTGATTCCTAAAAATGGCCGGCCAAGGCGCGGAGCAGGTATTTGAACGGTCTTTGAACAGAAAGAAACGAAAAATGGGAACTTCGAACTCTACAAGAAAGTTCGTGACGTTTAATGGACTTCCTATCGAACCACCCTTGATTACTGTTAATTTGTCCAATCAAATTATGAATCACATCACTCCAAACGATTTCATAGAGTTTCCTTCGTGTGGATCTAAAGTTTAAAGGAAGAGATCTAGCATCGGTTACTTTTAAAAACTTTTATTGCTAGCATTGTTTTACTAATGTTACATTCCCAACTTAAATGAGTCTTAAAGCCAACGGATGTTGACATAATAGAAATTGACATACTTGACTTTCACATGAAATTGCAAACTCGAATACACTATTCAGTGAAACTTTTCACAACAATTCACCTCTAAGCTTAAAGTATGTTTTTTAAATTTTAACAAGTGAAAGTTAGGAAGTGGGAGCTGATAATTCCCAATTTTAAATTTAAAACGTAGGAAAGGATTGGTCACCCTTATCAGAAATTTCTGAATCCACCTAAGTATGCAAACTAAAACTGAAACGAACTGATGAATATTTCCCAAATCAAAAAGAAATGATTAATAGTAAAATAGATATATCTTTCTTATTTCGAGTATAAACATTCAATAGAGCTAAATCAGCATTGGATCGTGATTGCCCTTGGACATTCTGTTGGCACCGCTTTTATCGGTGGTCAACGTAATATGGATGACTTAGTTTCCATTCTATTCTCTAAACCTTCTCTTTTTGCTTTTTTGTTCGACCTTATTACTACTAATAAACATCTTATTCATCTGCAGGGTTTTTTTGGGGTGAAGTTATCGATCCAGGGGCACCCAACGACCGAATGTTTCCAAATACGCCAGAAGTGTCTCAGATGGTTTTCTCTGTGCTTTAGAAGCCTGTTTGGTTAATTCGGAGTTGCCCTAGAGACTTTTTATCTGTTCGGATTTCTTAGGCGAACTTTGGCCGTCACGAAAGTTTTAGGTGGCTTTTTCGTCTCATCCGAAAGTGTTAGCTGCCCTTATGGGTCCGGTCGAACGAGGACATGAAACAGTCTTGCTTTCATTAGAAAATTTTAGGGGACGTTTTGTCTTTACACCGAAAGTTTTAGGAGACCTTTTTTCAACAACAATCGTTATATCTTGGTAATGTGACGGACACAACCTCCGAAAATCGCAGTTAAGCTTTCCGAATATTTTAAACGAATCAAACGGTTATCCAGAAAGTTTTAGCTTTTCACAAGCTTTAGAAATTTCTAGGCAATATTTGCTACTTCGAACAGTTATTTTACAGAATAAAGTCGCTGGGTGCCCCTGTCGATCTTTTTAAGACACAAGCATTCTTTTTACGGGGAAGTGTAAGCCCTCCAGTTATTTCTAATGATCCTTCGATCCTTCGATTCTGCGGTCCCTGATACCTTCGAAGCCCTCCTTGCGACCACTCTCGTTAGCGACCAGCTCTGGTTACAACCACCTTAATGTTTGAAACCCCATTTGAACTGTGACTTAAACTTTGTACTGAGAGGTCTCGTAAGCGACCGCTCCCTTAAGCGACCTGGACCACTCGTAAGATTACTCAACCTTGTTTTAATTTGTACTCTCGCAAGAGACCACTCAGAGTCTTATTCATATACCGTAAAATTCCGAAAATAAGCCCCTCCATGTATAAGCCCCTCCAAATATAAGGCCCCCAATCCGGTAACGCAGAAAAACCCTCCGTTAAATCGCCCCTCCAAATATAAGCCCCTCGGGGACTTGTACTTGGAAAATTGCCCTCAAATGCAAAGAAAAACAAAGCAAAAACGGTAAATTCACTTCCAACTATAGGGCTAGCCCAATTGATTTTCCGTCCGTAGATAAGCCCCTTTAAAAATAAGCCTCTCAAAAAGGGCCTTTGAAAAATAAAAATCCCGGGGCTTATTTTCGGAATTTTACGGTAAATGAACCCTTAAATGAAACTGCACACTGCGCTATTGTTTCGTTGATAAATATCTTGGAGTTGCTTTGAACGAAAAAAATTGGACGTAAAGTTTAGCCGTGTCTATATCAGAAATAAAACCACTTATTAAGTGGGTGGGTTAAAGCCCTCTACTGTCTCACCTTGCGGTCCATGCTTACGAGAGCTCATTCTCAAAAAAAATGATGCAAAATAAACTAAAAATGAAGTTTGTTTGACAAAATTTGAAACGTGTACTAGCATGAGACGGACAACGTAGGAAAAATCTCGGTTGTTGTTACCCACGCAAGTCCCTTTTGACTTGTCGAGGGCAACTGTCATGACTCACGCAGACGGGGAGGGGTTGGGGCTACCCTTTTATCTCTTGAACTGTTCACTCCCTCCTTAATTTACGGTAAAAAAACACGTTTAACTTTAAAAGAATATGCAACCGATCCTATCAAGCCTATCTTAAACTAGTTTTTCTAGTTCACCAATGATGTGTTCCATAGTAGGTCTCTCTTGAGGATTTTGTTGCAAACATCTCCGGATGAGAGCTCGAAACATGCGCTCTGTTACCATGGCGACTTGCTCTTCACGCCTGTCAGGATCTGGCAGTTCCCTAATGCTCATCTCACAGAGGAGAACTCCAAAACTGTACACATCGACCTGAAGGCAAAGAAATGAACGATTATTATTTAAAATATGTATATTCAGGGTAACAACACTATAGCTCCACTTCATTACTCATCAACTTATAAATTATTTGACGTCTTTGTACACATTATGACACTTTCAAAGGCGATAATTTAAATAAGACATATGTTTTATTCCTTCCAAGGACTCAGCTTTTTATGAAGCCACTAAAGAATCTTTTATAAAACATTTTTCTTTATTCTACCCGTCACTCGACGACCAAACTCGACCACTAAAATATTTCACCTTTCCCCGAAATCAGTAGTCCAATATTCTGTTTATTCTTTTTGTCTAGACTGTTTAGTACATGACTTAGCCTGCCACAATTTTCATATGGCTCAGAGGTAGTCAAGCATCCGATTGACAAATATAATCATGACGATTTTCCTTGGGTATCTCGTAGGGATAATATATGCTACGTGAGTTGCCAAAAGTTAAAAAAAAAAATAACAAATACAAACTAATGATTGACACAACATACCTTCACAGTTTGATTTTTAGTAAACGCTTCAGGAGCACTGTATACTGCAGCACCTGGACAAAGTGACATGGTATGCTGCATAATATTAGCAGCACCATAATCCGACACTTTGCCTCGCCATTGGTCCGCTTGTCGCCATAGCAACACATTGGCGCTGCTGATATCGCGGTGGATAATAGGAAGTGGTTTCTTTTGGTGCAGGTAATTTAATGCTCGAGCCACATCCAAAGAGATGACAGCTACTTCAGTTGTAGACAGAGATCGCTGCTCCAGCAATTTTCGTAAACTCGATTCCATGAGCTCTGTGACAAAGAGAGGACTTCCTTCATCGTTTGTTGCTCCAATGAACTGCAGCAGACAAGGATGGCGGCATCTTGAAGCGATGCTCATTTCCCGCTCAAACAATTGTCTGTTATGAGAGGAAAGGTTCAGAAGCACCTCGTAAATCTGTTTCACGGCAACAGTACAGCCACAATACTTGCCTTCGATGACACTTCCCCAGCCTCCCTTACCAAGGCATTTCTCTGTCAGCTAAATTTGATCACGTGAAATGACCCAATCAGGTGTGTGTTGGCGTGGACGTCCACGTAACGCTTGTTGAGTTGTTGCAAGAGATATTTCCATTTCATTCACTTCTTTTTCTTTTGCTCTCAGTTGTTCCTCTAGGGAGGTGATTTCTTCAACTTTTTCTCGAAGTTGCCCTTGCAAATTTGTCAACTGTTGTGTCAACTCTCTCACTTGTCCTTCTCTCTCTCTTAGTTGCCCTTGAATATTTGTCATCTGTTGTGTCATTTCTCTCAATTGTCCATCTCTCTCCTGTAGTTGTCTTTCAACATTTGTCAACTGCAATGTGCTCTCTTTAAGCTGTTCATCTCTCTCTCTTAGTTGCCCTTGAACATTTGTCATCTGTTGTGTCATTTCTCTCAATTGTCCATCTTTCTCCGGTAGTTGTCTTTCAACATTTGTCAACTGCAACGTCCTCTCTCTTAGCTGTTCATCTCTCTCTCTTAGTTGCCCTTGAACATTTGTCATCTGTTGTGTCGCCTCCCTCAGTTGCCCGTCTCTCTGTGTTAGTTGCTCTTGGACACTTTCCAACTGCTGTCTCAACTCCATTAATTGTCCTTAAAGAAATTAGGATAGAAGGACGCCATTTTCAGCTTTTTGGCCCATAGCATAAAAAAAGAGACAATTTTCTTTGGTCTCACGCTTAGTGACCTTAGTCTAACATCTAGAGAGGATCAAACTTAGAGACTGCATCTTCTATACAGCTGTAAATGCCTCATTCTAAAGGGAAATTCCTCTCAATTTGAATTAATTTATTTTTATTTTAGACTCAATGTATTTGATCTCCACTTAATAATGCATCCGCTCCTGTTTTTCTCTTGGTTACACTCATGGGCTGGCCTTATTTTTCTTTCATTTACAAACAAAAATTACATTTAGTTTGCGGATTGTTTTTGTTGTTGTTTATTTTTTGTTGATCATACATGTATTATGTCCATCACTGTGAGAACAGGCCAAATATCTTCTACCGCCTTGAACGATGAGGGATCCGCCATATGGGGCCATTGGCTCCAGTCTCTCTGTTTAAAACACACTCTCTTTGTTTACCTCACCTAAAATGGCACCTAAATAGCACCTAAATGGCACCAGTGGAGCTTAATGATCCTGGGTACAATTATTTCTTTTAACCAATTATTCCCTTAATTAGATTCTCTTATATACCTGATATTTCCTTTGTTTCAGTCTCCTTTTGCATATTTTCATTAGCATCTTTTTCTGTTCGAGGAACAAATCCTCCTTCTTCTCTCCTCTTTTCATTTCCACTTCCGATTTTTCCAGCCTTCGAGAAAAGGGAAAGACATGCCTCCACAGATGATGCCAAAGTAATTTAGTGCAATAGACGTACTATATCCTAAACTATTTAAACTATTTTTTATTAGCAACCTCTAAACCACGATCTGTCATAAATCCGTCACGAAAACGGCGCTTATTTAGCCTGGTAAACAGCCTCTCTGTTTAGTGGAAGGGGGCAAAAAAAAGGCAGAGATGGTGCGAGGGGAAAAATGAAACTTGAAAGATATTTACAAAAATGTGTTAGTGATAACCAGACGCATTTCAGTTTAATTTGTTCTTTGAACTTCTTATTTGGAAAACTTTGAATTCAGTGTGAATTCTTTTTCGCAAACGTCAATCGAACGGTTCAAAACAGTTCTTAGTCAGTAAATTGGCCGGAGTAACAATTGGGCCGCCTTAAGACATAAACGTGCCCCCGCTTGTTATATCATATAGCATAATCTAAGAGCCTTCTGTACATGCCACTATCAATGAAATGGATCGTTTCATTCGAACAGAGACGACTTTGGAAATTCAGCCTGTTCCAGGCGTTCAGATAGGGATGGGCAGACAAGCGTGACCAGAGCGTGACGTATTATCATAAACATAACATACGGACTCGGAAGAAAGTACTCTCTCATTTCGTGACAGAAAAATGATTTTTCAAAATTATAATATGTTAATATTACTTACATCTCCGACGTTGACGTTGATGGCACTCAGTCCTCTTTTCTCGGACAGGATCATACGAGCCTCGTCAGTTTCACAGCTGTGCAGTGGTGTTTGACCATTTTTGTTTTCTAGCTTTGGATCTGCACCGATATCTAACAACAACATCAGCATTTCTCTCAAACTCTCGACATCTTTAGGCTCAGCAGGTTTATACTTCACAGCTAGATGGAGAGGTGTGTTTCCCTCGGTGTTAACGGCATTTACATTCCCCCCTGCATGTAAAATAAGCTTCATGGTCTCAACACAGGGAAGCTTGCACACACTTCGCACATTGTCTTCTTTAATTGGAGTTTCGTGCCACGCAGCTAGGTGCAGCAGAGTATTTCCATCACTGCAACTAAGGTTTAAACGCAGGAATCTTTGAAGAAAGTCAGTCATGTTGGCATTTTGAACTTTA